ACACACACACACACACACACAGCTGTCTAAATCAAATACACATTCAAAATAAAGTCTCACATGTATGTGAAGATGACGCAGTTTCATTGTGTTTGTGTCACAGTGGACTTCAGCATCCAGGTTCTGAGCTCCGGCTCTTGGCCTTTCCAGCAGTCCTGCACCTTCGCTCTGCCCTCAGAGGTAATCCAGCACGCTTTAAAATTCATTTTTCTAATTTCATTCTTGCTGATTTCAGAGATAAAACTCTGACTTCTGAAGATCAAAGTCGTGATTTGATAAAGAAACCTCTCCCCCTGCAGGCGCTTCCACCTTTTCCAGGTACGATTGGAAAAGGATTCCCACATTTCATCTAACGGGATCAATAAGTCATAAAAACATGATGAAGCAGTGCTGCTGGTAATGAAAACGAGCTGCTAGCTCGACTGCTTTAATGGTGTGACATGAAGGAGGAGGAGGAGTTTTCATAATGTTGCTTATGACTTATTGATCCCAGGAGTTCAAGGACATGAATGTCTTTTCCAACCAAACCTTGAAAAGTGAAGCGATATCGCTCCTCAACTTAAAGTTTTCCCCTCATGAATGTTTCGTGTCTGGTGAATTTAACACGTCGTAGGTTTTGTGATCCGGCAGCATCTGAAACTTCTTTGAAGCTCTAGTTCAGTATTTAACTAAATCTCTCCTGTAAAAACAAGGACAGTTTGATTTCCTCATTAAACATTTAAAGCTCAGTGTGGACGTTTGAGTGGTCACACATCAACACTTTGTTCTTACTTTTTAAACGCCTTCAGCTGAAGGACGTGTGGGTGGAGGGTTTAAATCCTATGCCTGGTATTTGTTTTCCTGCTTGGCCTGAAGGTGCCAAGAAATACAAACCTAATATGATGAGAGATCACAGGAGAGACGTGCAGACAGACGACTGTGGAAGTGGGTCACAGCTTTGTGCCGTGACAAATGGTGTTAATAAGAAGATCCCTTACAGGTCCACAGACCTCAGGTTGAGTACCGTGGCTCTGACCCTCTGCCTCTCCTCCTGCACAGCTGGAGCGGAGCTATCAGCGCTTCACGGCGTTCTACGCCAGCAGGCACAGCGGCAGGAAGCTGACCTGGCTGTATCACCTGTCCAAAGGAGAGCTGGTCACCAACTGCTTCAAGAACAGGTACGCGTGCAGTCTGTGAGCGCACAGGTAGGGGGCGCTGTGGCGCCACAG